CCATATGTGTATATATATTCGGTAAGGACTTCACTCATTTTTGCAGCTTACAAATTTCTTCTTGCCTTCATGCAGAATGAGTTGGACTATTGTGGAGAGGAGCAGCCGTCAATGTCCCCCAGGGTGCCACTTCAACATCAGCATCTTCAGCCCACTGTGCATTTCACAAACTCAGGTTTCCCAGTTTCTTCTGGCTCATCTGGCCCAACAAATACTGGGCAGGGAATTCGTTCTGAGCAATGTGATCACCAATCTAAAAATTCAGTCTTCTCAAATGCTCTGTCAAGCCCTGTTCGCCAGAGTCTTCAGCACTATCACATTTCTCAAGATGGATATTACTCAGGTGCTGGTCTGCCATCTGGAAATGGAGCCCGAAACAATGAACCTAGCTTTCTCCACCCGAACCGGGATGCTAATCCTCCAAGTTCCAATGATACCTCGATGGACATGCATGCAGATAGTCCTGGTCATGATTCTACCTACTAAAAGTTCTTGGACGGATGGCTGATCCAAGGATTCTTTGCCATAGGACGGTTGAAAAGTCTTGGAAGAACCATGACAATACAAAGGTTCTCTTTCATGCAATTCTCTAAGTGAAGAAGGCACAACCTGGAAGCGGTAATGCAATCAATTCAATTTACTTTCGCTGTCTTATTTGAGAAAAGCTTGGTCTTTTTCATCTTCTGTAACCATCTTTTTGGTACCTATCCTTCTGTTTCATTTTGTTTTACCAAAAAACCTGTGTTTCTATTAGGAATTGCTTCTAATGTTGAAAGACAATCTCTGTAAATGTATTGATTCTGCTTTTATATTATAAAGATTTCAGTCATTAAAATCAAGTTCATGATTTCCCTCCCGATGTTAGACATGAAAGGAATTGGACTCTGATATAATGTCATCTTTCTCATGCTAACGTGGTTTAGGTCAATAAGATCATCTGGCCGAAACCTCCAAACTAGTAACTTTGATAATGAAATGAAAATTCGCTGAAGCTTCCAGAGTTGTGATTCAAGCAACCCTTGGGGATGGATCCCCTCGACATTTTCAATGATGTTTTGTGGAAGATCTTCTGCAATTTTGTTTTGTTATCAATCTATCATCGTATTTTTACAATAATTAAAAAAAAGAAATAGAAAACGTAGTAGCAATATATCATAAAAAATGAACTTTGGGAATATACGCTGCAGATCATGAGTGTTCCTGAACACTACTTTTGTTTTGCCAACTACAAAGTTAGTGTTGTCTTGTCAGCATTTACGCGTCTCCCCTACCCCTAGCTGTACTATCAAGGGTCCAACTCGAATATAACCCGTTTGATAAATAGGCTAAGTGGAATTGTTAAGGGTTTAGGGTTATTTAGGTTAATCTAAAAACCCGTGGAACTTATTTGACCTATTTAGCATGTTTTAATCCTTTTAATTAAACGAATTTAATTAATTGAAAACATGCTTTCGAAATCGTACTTATGTTTAAAACCAATTTCAAAGTGTTCTCTGTTTTTCATATCTTTTGCCCACCTTTCTCATTAACCAATTTTGCATCGCCACACATACAATGCACTCCAGTTATCCGAACTCGATATTCGGGACCTCCCGCCTTGTACCTAGCCGCTCGACTTTTGAACATACACTTTCATTCCATAACTTGAAATTCACAATTTGACCCCAAAAAAAAAAAAAAAAAAATCCAAACATGAACATGAAATCAGTTACCTAACAACTTTTAAAGAGTAAAATTGGTTACCAAACAAGTTTCTTGTTTTCAGTTTTTTAAATATGAAAATTAAAAAATTAAAAAAGAAATGATTATCAAGTGGTCCCTTAGTAAATGGGTTAACAGGTTGATTTGAAATCCACCAATTTATTAATCATTTCTCAGCGAGATGACCCGAATTGGTCTCGAAATTTTTATTGTGTGTGTAGACATATATAAATTTTATGCGGATTTTGAGTCGTTTATGGGGTCATGTTGATAATTGCTACTCCTAGTATCAAGTTTTTAAATTAAAAAAAAATATTTGCAAGGGGCTTATAGCTCAAGTGCTTAAGAGTAGATACCTCTGTATCCATCCAAGGTCCTATGTTCGAATACTCCCTCCCCCAATATCGTTTATACATATATTTTTGTTTTTTAAAATTATTTTTCTTAAAGAACTAGCTATGGTTGGTTGGTTTAATCCCCATCTTAAAGGGGGTTGCAACGTGCATAAGTTCAATTGGCCTTGATTGGTGGAACATGGTTTAAAGTCCATCCTCCAATGAGGTATAAACTTATCATGTTAATGTATCCATATGGTTTCCCATATCAATCAAAGCTTCATGCTACACCTGGTGTAATAATGATAGCATTGTTTTAATTCTCCTAAACAAATTCTCGTTTGCATGTATCCCATGAGGGAATATCCGTATTCATGTTTCAAATATCCATCAGTAATCCTTAGTTCTCATCAAATGAGCTTTCTTTATGCACCGGGAGAGGAGAATATTGTTAAAGCAAGAGATTGGAAGGAAGAATGGTGCTTTTCTTTACTGATCAGCCTAGTTTGTTGGCTCCAAACAAACTGAGACATTGTCATTGTTGTAGGCGTCTTTGTACGAAGTGGTTACATGTGTTCTCTGTATTGTGTATTTTGGAAGGGGTGGAAATTATTGGAATTTGCAGGAAACGTTATCGGGCATCGGGAAAACCTTGGAATCTCCTATTAACACATTAAGTTATAAGTGATATGATCAACATGCAATCTTGCTATTCATGTATACATACTAGTAGAATTCTTGTAATTAACATTCTTGATTGTTGTGTGTTCATTATGGGTGGGCATTCAATTGAAAATGTCATTGTTGTAGGCGTCTTTGTACGAAGTGGTTACATGTGTTCTCTGTATTGTGTATTTTGGAAGGGGTGGAAATTATTGAAATTTGCAGGAAACGTTATCGCACATCGGGAAAACCTTGGAATCTCCTATTAACACATTAAGTTATAAGTGATATGATCATCAACATGTGATATGATCCCCTCAGCATGTGATATGATCAACATGCAATCTTGCTATTCATACATACTATACATACTAGTAGAATTCTTGTAATTAACATTCTTGATTGTTGTGTGTTGATTATGGGTGGGCATTCAATTGAAAAATCGGAAAATCGAGTCAAATCGGTTGAAAAAATTGGAAAAAACCATGTTGACAAAAAATCGGACTGCGTTGACCAAAAACCAGACTGGATCGGTTTGGTTTGGTTTCGATTCCAATTCTTGTGGTGAAAAAACGAATCGAGCAGAACCAAACCAATTATGTATTTTTTAATTTTTTTATAAAATATTTAAGCCCAATACTAACTTTCTAAACCCATAACTAATCTTTAACCAAGCAGAACTACAAGTCACATTTCTTTGCATGAAATTGAGTCATTTGTGAATTTTCAACCCCAAAAAAATAAAATTTTAGTTAGATTTTGTTATTAAAAAAAAAATCAAAAAACAAAACAACACCGGGAAAACCGTTAACCGAACCAGGTTTTGGGCAGACAAAGCGCGACACCAGATGACTCGTATTTTACAAGCTTGACAAGTGTTGCTGAGCTGTCACGCCTCGGGTGGGCCCAAGGTGTTCGACCAACAATTTCCATGTGTCATTTTTTAAAAAATGGATGCAAGATGACCTTAATCCTTGATGTTGTTTTTCTTATGCAAGTGGTGTCAAGGTGGAGTATTTTAGATTCCCTGAGTGTTTTGCATAATGGACATAACAAGGTAGATCAAACCAAACACAAGAAAATAACACACTAGTAGCGCTCCAAACTTATCATGTTAATGTATCCATATGGTTTCCCATATCAATCAAAGCTTCATGCTACACCTGGTGTAATAATGATAGCATTGTTTTAATTCTCCTAAACAAATTCTCGTTTGCATGTATCCCATGAGGGAATATCCGTATTCATGTTTCAAATATCCATCAGTAATCCTTAGTTCTCATCAAATGAGCTTTCTTTATGCACCGGGAGAGGAGAATATTGTTAAAGCAAGAGATTGGAAGGAAGAATGGTGCTTTTCTTTACTGATCAGCCTAGTTTGTTGGCTCCAAACAAACTGAGACATTGTCATTGTTGTAGGCGTCTTTGTACGAAGTGGTTACATGTGTTCTCTGTATTGTGTATTTTGGAAGGGGTGGAAATTATTGGAATTTGCAGGAAACGTTATCGGGCATCGGGAAAACCTTGGAATCTCCTATTAACACATTAAGTTATAAGTGATATGATCAACATGCAATCTTGCTATTCATGTATACATACTAGTAGAATTCTTGTAATTAACATTCTTGATTGTTGTGTGTTCATTATGGGTGGGCATTCAATTGAAAAATCGGAAAATCGAGTCAAATCGGCTGAAAAAATTGGAAAAAACCATGTTGACAAAAAATTGGACTGAGTTGACCAAAATCCAGATTGGATCGGTTTGGTCTGATTCCGATTCCAGTTCTTGTGGTGAAAAAACGAATCGAGTAGAACTAGACCGATTATGTATTTTTTAATTTTTTATAAAATATTTAAGCCCAATACTAACTTTCTAAATCCATAACTAATCTTTAACCAAGCACAACTACAAGTCACCTCTCTTTGCATGAAATTGAGTCATTTATGAATTTTCAACCCCAAAAAAATAAAATTTTAGTTAGATTTTGTTATAAAAAAAAAAATCAAAAAACAAAACAAAACCGGAAATACCGTTAACCGAACCGGGTTTTGGGCTGACAAAGCGCGACACCATCAGTGAAGTCAGATGATGACAGAAAAAAAGGGATGTAGTTGCGAAAAATGAGGTATTTATATGGCTCGTATTAATTCGTTTGACAAGATTCTGCAATTTTTTAGTAGAGAGAGAGAGAGAGAGAGAGAGAGAGAGAGCAATCTTGACCTTTTATTGTCAAGGATTTGCTTTGCCAATTCATACATGTATTGTTAAACTGGCATTATTTGCTTTTAGGTTACGCTTGTTAACTATTTATGACATTCTAGGCACATTGAGCACTGCTACTCTTGAATTATGTTATCTATGTACGTTGGACATGGTGCCCCTAATTGTACAGTATGAATGGCCAATATAGATACGAGCCTCCATCCGAGCTCTATTTCCAGATAGAGAATGCTTCACCCTTTGTACGGCCTTTGAACAACGAACATGATCTACAGAGACTTGACGAAATTCAGGTCAGTGACTTACTGTTGTCACACTCAAATCTGTTACTTTCTTTATTGATATTTAGTTGTGTTGAAGGCTAAGTTTTTCTAATGCAGTTGGACAAATTAAGGCCTGAATTCAGAGCCGGGCTAGACACATTGACAAGGTTTGTTTTTGAAAGAACAAGGCCGAAGCAAGTTGGGGCAACTATGATGACGAGCAACGCATTCTTATCTTGATGCTCTAAATAAAGGCGCGGTGCCTACCATATCGGCTTCATGGCAGGTTTGTGTACTCCTTGAACTCTCTTATTGGGTGGTATTTTGCAACAGGCTCTAAATTATTAGTTTTTATCCACAAAAAGCTGAAAAAGGAGTTTGAGGTAGAGTACTAGATAAGACGAACTTTAGTTTTAGTAGGATGTGGGCGCAGCTAGAAATAAATTGAAAAACAATTTGTTTCAATTGACCTTGGCCACTTAGAATCAAAGACACACCTAGACGCAAACGCACCTACACTGTGCATATGTTGAATATCTCTTTTCTTTTGAGATTGTATTGCCAAGAGTGTTTTTGGCTTGTATCTTAATAATTAAAGAAAAAGATAAGAATTTTAAAGTGTTCTTGCCTCATATATAGTTGAAATCTTTGTGATAATAAATAGTTTGTTGCAGTATATATGGATATGTATTTCTTATTAGCTCATCTCTTGTATACTGGTCTTATTCATTTAAATTGGCTACTCATGCAGGATTGTAAAAGGAATTAATGCATATATGGAGGCAGAGTTGCAATGTTCAAATACTGCAATGCACATGATGAGGTCCCAGTTCTACTTCATGTCATTGTCCTCCTTCTTTTCAACTTCCAGTCGTTTTACCAGTATCTCCTACATCACCTGTCACACAACCTAGCCTACAAAACCAATCGGCATCTTCTTCACCAATGCAGCCTTCAGCTGCTACTCCTCCTCCTCGCCCTCAGCACATGTTGCCTCTCCTGAATGAAGCCATGGAAAGGAAGCTGAGAATAGCTTGCCATGCAAGTGATGCTAATATTGATAATGTTCTGAAGGTAAGCAACAGTGGCTTGCCCCTGATATCTTTAACATTTTAATTGATATATATATATATATATATTAACTGTGATTTTGTTTTCTAGGTTCTTGATGGTCTTCTATTCTACTATGAACCAGCAAGTCACGGTCCAGAAAATGGCAGAAACTGACCATTTTCTTACAAAGGGGGTTTGTCTATTGTCTTTATTTTGCTTTTTTATTATTATTATTTATTAATGTATGAGTGTGTATTAATATGTATTGCATGCAATCCAAATTCACAATTTGGAAGGTCCAATACTTAACCTTGCCAAGAGACTGATTGGCCAAGCTGGATCAGAGAAGAGTACTCTCATGTTGAGATGCCGCTCAATAGAAGATAAGTTGGGGTTACTGAACCAGAAGCTGGAGTCTAGTAAGAAGTCTGAATATTTGAAGTGTTGTGAGGATGCTGTCAATGACAAGAAGAAGTTAGTTGATGAATCTATAGGCTGCATAAATAACTTAGAGAGTAATTCCAGCTCACTGGGTGAGAAATGTTCTAGCTTAGTTAAAACATTGGATTTTGCAAAAGGATTTTAGAGAAAAGAAAGTACAAACAGGTCATATCAAAGCAGAAGGCTGAGGAAGATCAAGCTAGTTCTGAAATTGCAATTCTTAAGTCCCGATGCAGTGCTGATGAAGCAAGGCTAGCTGCTGCTCGGGAAGAAGCTCAGTCTGCTCAAGGGGAGGCTCAAGAGTGGAAACGCAAGTATGACATTGCTTTTAGAGAAGCAAAAGCTGCTCTAGAGAAAGCTGCAATTGTCCAAGAACGTCGAATAAAGAAACACAAAAGAGTGAAGATGCTTTGAGGGAAGAATTCGCTAGTAGTTTGGCTGATAAGGTGATCCTCTCTCTCTCTCTCTCTCTCTCACACACACACACACACACACACACACAGGCACACACAGACACCTTAATGCATACTCCAATTCATTGAAATTCGGATGAAGAAAAATTCTTATTTTGTACGTGTTTGTTTTTCTTTTGTGGTTTCTCTTTTCAAGGATGTATGTATGTATGTATCAATGATGTGGTACTTTACTATTAAACATTCTTTGCAGACTGCCAAAGCAAAAGTAGACAGTTATGATTCTGAAATATCATCGCTGAAGCTTGAAATCAAGGACTTAAGTCAAAAATTAGAAGCTGCAAATGCAAAGGCCCATTTATTTGAGAGAGAAAAAAAGATATTGGAGCAGGAGAAGATCTTTCTGGGGCAGAAATGCGAATCTGAAATAAAAAGACTTGACGAAGTCAAAGAAACGTGTAAAATCGCTGAAAAAGAAGCCACATGAGTGACTGATATTGCCGATAAAGCACGAGCTCAAGCGGATGTTGCTCAAAAGGAAAAGAGTGAGATGCAAAAGTTGGCAATGGAAAGATTGGCCCAAATTGAGAGGGCTGAGAGGCATATTGAAAGTTTGCAAAGGGAAAAAAGAGACTCGGATGATGAGTTAGAGAGAATTCGTGTATCAGAGATGGGAGCTCATTTGAAAGTTGCTCTTCTGGAGGCAAGAGTTGAAGAAAGAGAGAAGGAAATAGAATCATTATTAAAATCCAATAATGAGCAGAGAACTAGTACTGTTCACGTCCTTCAAGGCCTTCTGGACAGTGAGCGTGCAGCACACGCAGATGCAAACAATAGGGCAGACTCCCTGTCTCTTCAGCTACAAGCTGCACAGGTAAAACTTGATTCACTCCAGCAAGAGTTGACTTCTGTTCGGCTGAATGAAACAGCACTGGATAGCAAGCTAAGAGTGCTTCTCACGGGAAATGCTCAAGGGTAGATGACTATGAAATGGGCATGGACTCTGTTCAAGAGTAAATAAGAGGTCTAGAAGTACTACTAGCCCTCTAAAGTACACACAAGCAGAAGATGGTGGTTCGGTATTCAAGGGAGATGAGGATACCTGCAGTCAGCAAACTAACTGGGAAGACTATAGAAAGTTCACTGTCACAAAAATTAAGCAAGAACTCACAAAATATAATTTTGGTGCCCGAGTGCTGGATATGAGAGCTGGTGCTAGCAAAAGAGAATGGCTTGAACTCTACGAGAGTTGTATGCTTCAGAAGTCGTGACCAGTTGAAGCTCTTGTGCAGTAGGAGGGTAATGCGTAATCTACACAGGTAGTTGTTGCCGTGGATTAGTCCAGGACCTAGCAAGAGCTTTAAGTTCTCGATGGTTTGGTTTTATGATAGATCTCACCAGAATTGGTACAAAAACTATCTGTTATTCTATTGTAACTACAAAATGGTTGGAATATTAGTGCTTTAGGCTACTGACATCAGCTACTCGTTAGGTGACGTACTGGTAATTTGCCTATATTTATGTTTTCTTTTTAATTTTCATCACCCTCCAAGTATTATTCCATACGTGTGGGCATGTTGTTTTGGTGTTGCTTGCAGTGTGGTCTATCATGAGCCTGTACGACGATCTATTATGTGTTTGTCAGCCAACCTCTACCTCTCTGTGTTTTGTGGGCAAAAACTTGTTAGTAGTGTATTGCTGTTTGAAGAATGAATTTATAAGTCCAGGTGTGGGTAAGTTTAGTTTCATTTTGTGCTGCGTGTGTTATTTTAAGGGAAATTTAGTTTCTTTTGGTGCTCTTGCTGCTTGCTTGGTATAGAAATATTTTTTTGAACAACCAGAGTGTTACTTTTGTTTGTCTTTTGGTTTTCATGTTGGTCATGTAATTTTTCATATGTCTAACCAACGCAGTTATGTTATTGAATATTTCAACAACTCGAAGTCAGTATTTTGCATTAATCTGATTTGGAAATTGAACACAAATTGCGGGAAGGTGAAACTGATGCCGATGGTGAGGAGGAGGATGTCAAATCAATGGGGAAGTCAACCACACCCCATATGTTCTGCAAAAACCCTTACTGCTTTAGATACTAGCAGTCACGGAGGCTTCTCTGTCCCTCGTCGTGCTGCTGAAGATTGCTTTCCTCCCCTGGTATTCGTAGTTCATTTTGTCCCCCCACATGTAGTTCAGCATAACCTGTTCGAGACTTCCGTTACCTGAAATGATTTTTATAAATGCTTCATAAGTCTAATCAAGTACAAGTTCGTATTTTATTTTGAGACAACTAAATTATGCTTGTAGGATTACAATCAACAAAGGCCTTCACAAGAACTCATAGCAAAGGATCTGCATGGCCTGGATTGGAGGTTCAGACATATATATAGGGGTATGCCAAAAGATATCCCATGTTTTGTTTTCATTAGTTGGGGGTTTATCTCTTCATGAAACAATAGCAATCTTATTAAGGTTTTATTATGAACTCATGTAGACCAGGGAACTTCATGTAGGCCAGGGAAACTTTGAGTGCATGGCTTTAAGTGGGGTTTCCATCTCTATCTTTGTCTCTTGTTGAAAATAAACATGCTTTATTAATTAGATTCATGCGTTATGTATTTAGTTGATGTATAAGCATTTAGAAAGATTCTAGAAGTTGATTGGGCGCATGTGTTCAAGACTAGGAAGTAGTGGGGCTTTATTACCTTCAGTGGTTGTAATTGCTATATATGCCAAAGTCATGTAATCGGTTGGCTAAACCCAAGCAATATGAAAATAAAGTAACTTCTCCCAAATATTGTTTATTGTGAGTTTTATGATTGAGGGTCCATCACCTTCCAACAAATTGGCATCAGAGCCATAAGAAGAAGTTGAGAAGATGGCGAACAGTTCGATGGCCCCATTTCAAGTTCCACTGTTGACCAAAGATAATTATCACAATTGGAGTGTTAGAATGAAGACTTTGATTGGCTGCTATGATGCTTGGGAGGTCGTAGAGAGAGGAATTGACGAACATGGAGATGAAGCAAATTTGACTAATACCCAGAGAGAAGCATTGAAGGAAACAAGGAAGAAAGACAAGAAGGCACTCACCCTCATCCATCAAGCCTTGGATGACAGCACATTTGAGAAGGTTGCAAATGCGACAAAGGCAAAAAATGCATGGGAGATTTTGCAGAATTTTTATCGAGGAGTTGATAAAGTAAAGAAGTTGCGGCTCCAAACCCTTAGAGGGGAGTTTGAAAGCCTACATCAAAAGGAATCCGAATCAATTTCAGACTATATGTCAAGAGTTCAAGCCAATGTCAACCAATTGAGAAGAGATGGAGAAGAAATTAGTGACACCCGTGTAGTTGAGAAAATTCTTCGCTCATTAGATTCAAAGTTTGAGCATATTGTTGTTGCTATTGAAGAGTCCAAGGACCTGGACACTATGACGGTTGATCAACTTTCTGGATCATTGAAAGCTCACGAAGAAAGATTGAAGAAGAAAACTCAAGAACCAGTTGTGGAGAAAGTCTTACAAACAAAGCTCACTTTAAATGATGAAGAAAGCTCAAGAAGTGGAACAAGTCGTGGTCGTGGAAGAGGAAGAGGTGGCAGAGGAATAAGAGGTGGAAGAGGAGGAAGAAGTGGCAAAGGCGATTTTAAGTCAAGTCACAATGAAGGAAAAGAACAAAATTCATATTCGTCAAGAGGACGTGGAAGATGGAGTAATACAAATCAGCAAGGAAATTATAGGTATGATAAATCACAAATCCAATGTTATTCCTGTGGAGGCTATGGGCATAAAGCATTTGAATGCAGAGGTGGTGGTGGAAATGTCCGAGGGAAGTCCAATTATGCAGAAGCAGACAAAGAAGCCACTTTGCTGTTGGCCTACAAATGTGAAGAAAAAACTAGACAGAATGGAGAGTTATGGTATTTGGACACTGGAGCAAGCAATCATATGTGCGGAAATAAAGATTTATTCGTTGACCTTGATGAAAAGTTGGGTGGCAAGATCACTTTTGGAGATGATTCGAAGATTTCAGTTCAAGGCAAAGGTAAAATATTAATTCGTTTGAAGGATGGCAGCCATGAATTTATTTCAAATGTTTATTATGTGCCTACTATGAAGAGTAATATTTTGAGTTTGGGCCAATTGTTGGAGAAAGGATACAATATGCAGTTGATTGATTGTAGTCTCTCAATTAGAGATGAACAAAACAGGTTAATTGCTAAAGTTCCAATGACAAAGAATAGGATGTTTTTGCTGAATATTCAAAGTGAAGCTGCAAAGTGTCTGAAGGCTTGTTTCAAAGATCCTTCGTGGCTCTGGCACTTGAGATTTGGGCATGTGAATTTCAGTGATTTGATTTTGCTGTGCAAGAAAGAAATGGTGAAGGGCTTGCCATCTATCAATTCTCCAGATCAATTATGTGAAGGGT